ATGATAATGTTTGTGATCGGCATAATTAATTTCCTACTTTAAAATTTTCTTATGTCTTTTTTATTATTTATTTTTTTCTGTAGCCACATCAATGATTATGAAAAACACAAACGGTAATCGATATGTAAGCGAATTATTTGATTTTTCAGTGGAAAAACCAAAAGGCTGGTCTTCAGCAAGCCCAACAGATCTAGAAAAGCTAACAAAAGAATCTGAATCAACGTCCGATACTGCTAATGAGAAACTTAAACATCTGCTTTCTAATTCGGCAACGAAAGACACATACCTTGCCAAATTCTGGAAACTTTCACCTGATCCGGCAAAGGTGAAGTCCAATGCAGAGATAGTACTAATGGTTGGTAATCTAAATAAATATCGTAACGTAAAAACCGCCTGTGATCATCTCAATGTCTTGAAACAAATAGTGAAAGCATTATCGTTTAATCATATTAAAGTTATTGGTAAATGTAACCGGGCTAATATCAACGGACAAACTTTTTCCACACAAGTGGTTCATATAATGAATCCTGATGGATCAATTATTAAACAAATCAAATACGCAAAATTGATAAAGGATAATTATGTCCTCTTATTTGTATTCACCTACATGGATGACAAATCCAAAACTCAACTGAAAAATATCATGAAAACTATTAAATTTTCAAAAACATACATTCCTAATTGAAACTGATTTATTAAATTGTTTTTTCTGCTTATTTTTTTAAGATCTAATTTCGTTAGCAGCCGTACGTGTAAAAAAGTTTAGTCAGCATCTCATATGAAAGCGTCTTTTAAGCGCTGTAAAACGTATATTTACTTTCTGTCAAAAAAATCTTTATTTAAAAAAGTTGAGGGCGGGTGTGAGTATGGTATAATATTCATTCCACATCTCACACCTTTGAGACGTCGTGGGTGTGGGTGTAGATACAGATGGTACAGGAATAGGACAGTCACGCCCACATTCATCCAACAGTCTCACCCACCCACTGTCACTTCTTTGTTTGGTTTATGAAATTATAACTATTTGTATCACTTAATTTTGTGTTCTTTAATACTTATATTTTATTGACTATTTTGAGATTGTCGGTGCAACGATTAATGTAAATTCACAGTCACACCCTTGATACTAAAATTGAAATAATGAGCATCTACGAGAAAAGAATGTCTGTTTGTTTTTTTCTGATGCTTTTTATATGAAATTTTATACAAAAAAAGAAAACACTGAAATTACAATGAAATAAAGATAGTATGGAAATAAATTATTAGAATAAAGTGCAACATTGATTCGTTTTTTTAGCCTAAAAAATAAATAAATGCTATATTTCAGTAAAAAAATGACAAAATTATATTATTATACCGTTTTATAAAACAATTTTGCCTCGAAACTTAATTTATCTGATCGTTCAACTAAATCATCAATTTTTTCGCCACGTTCAAGAACATTAACCAATGCAGTTCTCTACAAAATATATTAATTACTGAAATATTTAATATTAGTAACAAAAAGGACTTACAAGAATATCTTTTGTATCATCAAGATCTTTTTGTAAACGCATTAAAGGATCGGCTTCTCGTGGATTCTAAATTCAAATGAATCAGATAAATCATTATACATTTTAAAAAACTTATCAATATAGCTAACCTGATATTTCTTTAGTGTTTCACCTAGCGATGCCATTTTACCTGTTCTAAATAATAATAAAAACATTATAAAAATTTTCTTCGGAATATATCTAACTTACTTTTCAGGCATCTGTGCCCATAAAGCAGGTCGATATGTATCAGTAAAATCGTCCATAACCTAAAATAGTTTAAAAACTTGGTTTTTCTCGCTTATAATAGAGTGAGTATTATCCTAATCAATCGACTAAATCAGTTCACTCACTATTCTCGAACTTTTTGTTTGTCAAATATTAAGAAGGACAAGTGTTCGTTTAATTACCAGGGATTAAAAACTAACTCTGGAGGACTTTTTTTACGTGCCATATTAAATAAAAAGTAAATGAATATTTACTTTAGAAAGAAGAGTATGTGCAACTCTCTGTGTATATTCGCTATCAGAAATAGCAATTGATGCTAAACCATTATGACGAACATTAACATGAACTATAGCTACAATAAAATAAAATATTCAAATTAAATTTCGAAAATAATTTCGTAATATTAATACCATTCACATTTTCCTCAGTTTCAACGGATTGTCTTGTATTTAAAGCTGTACGTTCAGTAATAGTTTTTGCTGAAAAGGCAAGTAATGATTGAACACTGAAAGAAAATAAATAGAAAAAAGAGTTCAATATAATATAACAAATTTCCATAAATGAACCATACCCACGACGTTGAAAATAACCAAAACTGTCCAAATTATATTCATCTTGAAGTATTTTTACTTTATTGTCATCGTCTTTATGTAAAATAAGTAAAGCTAATAATTTCATTGTTTAAAACAGTTTTAGTATTTGGTGTAGAATTCTTGAAAAACAAAGAATAAAAATCTAAAACAGATTATTATATTGCATGGGCAACTAGCGATAAATCATCGATTCTATATCAAATTATATGAGATGCTGTACTTTGATTAATCAACTTGTTTTGATTTTGTCTCGACACAGACGCTTTTCCAGGAAAAAAAACCGCAAAAACATATTTCGACAGGAAAAATTTTCTATATCGACTAGTATAAACTGAAAGTAGAGCCTATTTAATCTTTCGCGAAATCATGCATTTGATCATGATTCACTCAACTCACCATGCTTTATATACTCTGACTAAACACTAATAATGAAAACATTTATATATATATAGAACGAAAATGCTGACTCAATGGAGTTTACCTTTCTGACTCATTTATTGTTGATGTGGCATATGTAAATCAATAGAAAACTAGATTTAAAAAGAGATGTCGCTGAATGAGAAACAGTAAGACAAATATTTTAAGTGATAAAAACGTGTTTGAGTATTGAAAAGTTAATGATTCATAAATCTTTCCAGTTTACATGCATGACTCATGAAAAAAATAAATTTCGAAATTCATGATTCATTCGGTTCTATAGAATTTCGACATCTGAATTTTGAAACTTGAGGATGTGGTCGTATATTTTCTAGTGATCGATACTCACATCTGCACCCAACGAGAAAGGATGGTGCTCTAGAGAAGGTTTGACCATAAATAAAACAAAAAACTGATTCCAGATTTGATTTGAGAGCCAAACCGATCATTTAATTTAATATTTTCCATTAAATTTTATTCGCTTCGAATGCACAGAATAGAATTTAAATTCGAAGTGATCCTTTTCTTTGTTGATTTTGTAGAAAATCTTTGATTTTAGTGAAGAAGAACGTGATGAAGAGAAAGAAGAATTGATCAAAATCTAGCTTAATCATCGGACGTGTTTTAACTGAATATAAGATATCAACTATCATCGTCAATAAATGATTGACGTCAATGAATAAGTCATGATTAGTTTGATATTTTTTTATTTAACATTGTTAAATAATCTGCTTTGTCAGGACTCACTTTTAATCACGTTCTTTATTTCTCTACGCAGTAAGTATCTATGAGGGATGTTTCCTTCTTTCAATATTTCCATCTGTTTTTAAAATAAAAAATCTTTAGACATATACAAAGCAAAAGTGTCTATCGCGATACGGGAGATTTTTCTGAGAGAAAGCATAAAGATGCATGAATTCAACTCTAAATTGAATACTAACAAAGACAACATTCTGATAATGGACAAATCTTATCAATTAGTAGCACTATAGTGGGTGTGGGTGGGTATGAATACTGTTTTCATCTAGCAGCCACAGACACACCTACATCCTCCACTTTGTTTACTTTTCATTGAAGTGAATATACCCTGATTATGATAATACTTTCCAAGTACTTAAAATACAAAGAATTTGTCTTCGAAGGACATTCATTGACGAATGTTGAGTCTTCTAAGAGTAGTCTCACTGAACTTTGGTTTAGGTTGCATATTATACGTTATAATAAACACCTTTAATTAAATAAATATAACGACTTATCACTTTTTTTCATATGAGAATGAGATATAAGTTTAAACATGAAAAAGCTTTATTCTCAACCAATATGTTATGTAACAACAAAATGCAATATACATCACAAAGACATTTACGAAAGCTCATTAAAAGCAAAATAAATTAGTCTGAATTAGTTGAAGAACAACATTCACAAGTGTTCCAAAGAATAAGCAATTGTCCTGTTAGATAAGTAGCTACAACTATATCTGATCGTCCGTCATTATTGAAATCACCAACAGTCAACATTCGTGGAGTACTGTCATTTCCAATTGAGACATGTATTTCTGTTCTAAAGGTTCCGTTACCATTCCCAACCATTATCCCTATATCAGCTGTATAATCATTGGTAAAAGCTATATCTAAATACTGATCACCATTGAAATCTACAGCAACCATTGATTTTGGACTATTATAATGTCCTGTTGTAAATGTTAACATTGGTCGGAAACTTGCATCACCATTACCAAGAAAGACGTCTAATTCGTGATTTAATAAATCAAAAACAGCAATATCTAAGTAATCATCATTATTGAAATCAGCAGCAACAAACGACCCTAAAATACTTTGATATCCAATTGATAAAGTCGTTTTTCGTTGAAATGTGCTATTACCGTTACCAAGAAATAGACAAATATTATTTTGAGATACATCAACAACAACAAAATCTAATCGTTGATCATTATTAAAATCACCGACGACTACCGATGAAGAAATACTATCATTTCCAATCGACAATGTCATTCGATTTTCAAACGTTCCATTACTAACGCCAAACACGATACCTACGTATGATTCTAAATCATTGGAACTGATAACATCTAGTCGATCATCACCATTGAAATCACCAATAGCTATTGACCACGAAAAACTAGATGGTCCGGGTGAAACTATTGATGATTGTTCAAATGATCCATTACCTATGCCAATTAGGACTTGTAGATCGTTTGTAAATAAACCAGAATTAATCAGATCTAATCGACTATCGTTATTAACATCCGCTACAATAATGTAATTTCCATAATATGCAACTATACTCGAAATGTTTAAGTATTCTCCAAAGGTTTTATTACCACTATTTAATAGTATACCTATATTGCTGTCGAAGGTTGTAACAAGAACAACAAGATCTAAATAGTCATCTCCATTAAAATTACCAGTAGCAATAAAATACGGCCAAGTGGAAGAATCATATGAAGAAATAACACTTGATTCAAATGTCAACTGACAGATTTTTTCTAGAAAGAAAAAAAAACTTCAATAGCTTAAATCCACACTCAAACTCTTAATGAACCTGCTGGAACAAATGCTGCTGTTGCCGATATGTTCTCATTCACCGATGGAATAGTTGTATTCATCATTAAAACTACTAAAGAAAAGAACAATGGTAAGAAATATTTAGAAAAATATAATTATACCTGTCGATATAGAAGTATTCTTTTCTCGTTGAGTAAAGTAAACAGATGGAATTGTAACGATTGTTATCAGTAGTATGAATAAACTAATTCCAAATAAAACAGTATGACGTTGTAATGTATACTTTAGGATTACAAATGGTTTTATTGATGGATAAATATTATCGACTTGATTAATATCATGTGCATTTCTTGTTACTTCACTATTTTCAACAGGAATAAGATAAACTGGTTCAATACGGTCGATTCGCTTCTTCTTCATCCAACGTTCATAAATTTTTGCTAGTAAACATATAAATGTTGGACAAATCCATTTAAGAACAACAGTAAGACCACCACAGAGACCAAGTAGACGAGTTATTGTATAAAGTGAATTTAACTTTTGAATATAAGTGTATGAACATACTGTTGGTAAACATTGATTAAAATATAACGTATAATTAATTGTTATAGACCAATTGCCAATAAAAAGTTTATTAATTAGATCAATGACAGATGTATTTATTGAAGGAGGTTCCAGAACATTTGTATTGTTTACATTACTTGAGTAATTAATATGTTCATAAATGAGATTGATACATGA